TTAGGGCCCTGTGACCTTGGGCCGAGGCCCTTCCCTTCACTTTCCTGGGCTTGTTTCCTTGTGTGTGAGATGAGTCATCTCGGTTAGATCAGCTCTGATTCCTTCCTGAAACTGGATCCTGTCCTACCACTCACATGCCTCCTACCATCTCATCTGCACCTTATTGTCATGAAACATCCGAGAAATACTACCAGGCTCCCAGAGGAGCTGTTGCAGGTGTGCTTGAGACACTAGTTACGGGGTCTGGAGCCTTCCCTGGCTGGCTGTCCTTCTCCATCCATCCTTCTCTGCACCTGTCCCAGGAAGGCCCATTCCTAGTGGGGGCTTTGGGGGAAGTGGTTTGGGCTGGGCAGGCCGGAGTCAGCTGCAAGGCCCCTGCCTGCCTCAGGAGGGGCTGCCCAGAGGCTGGGTTCTGCCCCCTGGCTTGCATCTCCCAGGGCACAAAGCCACTCCCCTATATTTCAGGCTCTTTGTTTCAATGGCCTGACTCCATCTTCTGGCTGTTTTGAAAGCCGGGGGCCTCCTGTGTTCTACTCCTCAGCTTCCATGCGACGTTCAGCCAGGTGATTTCGTTCAGGGGCCTTGCTGCTGGAGTGACCCTGCACGACCTCGGCTTGTGTGTGGCAGAGGCAGCCTCAGCGGGGGTCATGGTGTCAACAGCAGTGTGTGCTCTGGGCTGGCACCCTAGGAATGGTGGCTCCCCACTGACAAATAATTCCCTGGCAGCAGCTCTAGGCAAACATCTGGGGAGCCTCAGCTCCCCGGTGTCAGCGAGGCAGCAGTGCACAGATTGAGGCAGAAACGTGTTAAATCCCCACTCCTGTCCCGTCATACGAGCGGCTTGTGAGGCCCCGGGACTTGGCTCTGGCCTGCGTGGGGCTCCAGAGGAGCATTAAGCAGCCGCCGCCCGGGCTGTTCCAGGGAGACCCCCTCCCCAACAGCTCAGACTCTCCCTTCTGCCTGCGGGAATTGCTTGAATGGGGGCCCAACTTGATCAGCCTCTTGTCCCTCCCCCCCAAGTTGCACGCTGCACCCCACTCAGCCCTTAGCATCCCCAGTGGGCCTGGGCCTGGGCTCCCCTCTCCAAGACAAGGTCCTGCCTGGATTGTTCTCTCTGATGCTGCTGCCTCGTGAAGGGCCTTGGTCTGCTGTGTGTGTGCGCACATGCCTCGCGAGGGTGCTGGGTGGGGTGGCAGACCCTTTGCTGAGCACCCATGTCCTCGGCTCTGTTGTTACCCTTCTCTAAGGTGAACTGCAATCAGGGGAATTCTGGAAACACTATCTGGGCCCTGGCTGCAGGTGGCCCTGGTAGGGTGAGCACTGTTGGCACTGGCTGGTGCTTAAACACCTGGACACCTTTCCAGACCCTGGGACTTGCCAGGAAAGGGGTGGACCAGATGCCTCCAACCTGTCTGGGCAAAGGGTCGCGACAACGGCACGGAAGGGGAGGAACTCGCCCGGTTCTCCCGTTGGCCTGAGCCCAGCCAGCTCCTCAAAGCAAGCGGGCAGAGGCAGGGTCCAGTCACCATCGCCTGGGCAAGGAAGTGGACCACGGGCCCCTGGCCCTGCAGGGGGTACACCCCATACACCTTTGCTCCTTCAGGTAGGCCCAGGCCCCTCTGTGGGGAGAGGTATTCAAAGGAGAGACAGTAGAGGGGAGACTGAGGCACCAGAATACAGACAAGTGAAGCAACTTGCCCCAAGGGCAGAGCGGGGAGGCTGGGAAGCAGGGCTGTTCGTCATGCACCACCCCAGCCTGGGGTGTCCCAAGACTCAGTACCAAGGCCCCTCACCCTGGTGTCCAGGGCCCAGGACCCGACTCAGACAAGGTGTTCAAGGCTGGGTGAGGGCGCGGGAGCCGCTCCTGGGGCTGAGTGTGGCAGGCGGGATCGCGGCACAATGGAACTTTGGGAGTCACGGGGAATGGCCTGTACTTCCTCCCCCAGCCTGCCAGCTAGAAGCACCAAAGGATCGCCCTCTCCTGGCATTGCTGTCACTGTCTGGGGTGGCTGCATGAGTCCAGCTGGCGGGGGGTGCCGGGCAATACTGCTCTCCTGGCGGGCTGGGCTGCAGCCTGCCCGGGCTCCATGGACGCCTCCCGGGAGGGCCGCCTCCCCACCTCTCACCCCTCTCCGAGCACCTGCCAGCCTGCAGGTCTGGCTCTGCTCCAACTGCCAGGGCACCGGGACCGCAGGGTGACGCGGGGCTCTCAGCACCACACACGGGCAGGCCTCCAAAGGGGCTGACGACACTCCTCACACAGGGAGCTGGCACAGAACCTGGCAGGATGGCGGCGATGACAAAGACGACAAGGACTCTCCTCTCCTCTCCCCAGGGTCTCCTGATGACAGCAAAGCCCTTCCCTAGTAACAGTCTGTGTGGCAGACTTTCTGGGGACGGGGAGGGAGAGATGACTCCCTGACAGTCCTCCTTCCCCGAGGGCCTGTTTGGGTTGGATGAGCGCTCGGTGCAGAATGGGATGAGGGCTCGAGAAATGGATACTCCGCTCAGTTCCAGAGAGCTTTCTGGAAAGGCCAGCCCTTTAATTCAGCTTGCAGCACCGGCCTGATGGTTCCCTCAGGGAGGCTGGGCCCGAGCTGCGGGAATGCCCAGCCAGCCAGCCCAGAGGTGCCGAAGAGCGCTGAGCTCACCCAGCCCTGCAGTCCACCCTGTGCCCTTTCGCACGTGGGCGTGCCCGCCCGGCTTCGATGTGGGCCAAAGGACAGCTCCTCGGCTCAACTCAGACTTCACCGGGTCGGCTCTGGGCCCTGCTTCTGCCTGCAGACCGCACACGTGCGTCTGCGGCCCGCCTTTTGGCTGACGGTGATCAGGTGACGCAAGCATTGCTAATACCTTTGCGGCTTAAACATGTGGCAAACGATGCTGTAGTGGTCTCTGAAGGACGCAGCCCTGGGCCCGCGCGGGCCCTTGGTGAGCAGCTGGGGGCGCAGGTGGGCGCCTGTGCCGTGGGGTGGCCCCGGCCTCTAGGTCACTTTCACCCTCCCGAAATGGACTCCAGCGGCAGCCAGGGCTGAAGGTTGATTTAGGCTCACGACGTCTCTCTCTCTGAGGCTAGGTACCTTTGGTTTCAAAAATGGATTAGGTGGGAGGATGAAGACGCGCCTGTGTCTCTGAGGGCTGCAAGCGTCTCCACCCGGGCCACAGGCTGCCGGGTGCCGACAAGCGGCAGCTTCGGGTCTGCTGGACGCGGGCAGAGCCGCCTGCCCCGTTCTCGAGACAGCGCCGCTGGCGGCTTCAAGGCTTGCAGGGGAGGCTGGGAACCTGGGAACGCAGAGACAGGCCGGGGCTGCGTAAGGCAAATGGAGAACGCCGCGTCCCCCCAGGCCAGGCTCCCGGCCAGCGTGGTGCTTGCGGGCCTCCTGATATGTAAATACCCCGGGGAGGGACATAGCGGCTCAGTCGTAGATGGCAGCTGAGCCCGGTCCACACACCACATTTAACACCAGTTTCAGAGTCATACAGGATTGACTGAGGAGATGATATCTGCTGGAGATGAAAAGGGGAGCAGTACCGTGCACCCCACATATTCCAGCCAGACTTTTGCATCACAGGGTAACAGTCTCCTGAGGGTAGCAGCGTAGACCCCCTGACCCGGCGGGGTCACCCTCCACGCTGGACGCGCCCTGTCGTTTCACTGGCAGGGAGCGAGGAGATCCAATCCAGATTCGTTTTTCTCTCCAGCGGTGAGCACAGCTCGCCAGCGACCGGACGCCTGATTCCTTCAGCTTGAGGTACGTGGTCTCTGGAGTCCAAGTCCCTCCCGCCGGTGCCCACTCGTCTTCCTCAGGTCCCTTCTTCTTCGGAGTTGGAGCAGCGGAGCAGCGCGTCCTGGGCACTCGAGAGGAAGTGGCAGGGGAGGAGCCGGGGCCGAGAGGCCCGCGGCCTGCCCACCCTCTCCCTGCCGAGAATACTGTCATTTTCCAGAAAGGAGCCAAGCCCAGCTCAGCGACAGACAGGCCGAGGCGAGGGGTGGAGCTGGGGAGGCCTATGGCGAGAAAGGCATCCTTCGGAAACACGCTGGCCCGGCGGCGGTTTGAATACTACAGCTTTTCTGTGTGTGGTTCCCGGGTCGATCCTTTTGGCCTGTCTTTGCAAATTCCTGGGGGAGAATCCACCTCTTCCTTCTCTTCCCAGGGACGCTTCTTCAAAACGAAAAGAATATGGAGACGATGTGCTTGGAGGGCAGAGGCACGAAGCAAAAAATAAAGACAGGGGGAGGAGTGACACCGACAGAGACGGAGTGTGTGTGTGCAGGCCTAGGGCGGCCAGCGGCCAGCGCGGGAAGCGGCTCGGGTGGCTGAGGCGGAGCCAGGACCTGGCCCCTCGGGCGAGTGCAGGTGGGCTCTAGCTCTCCCGCACAGGCGGGACCCCGGTGTGCGGGGTCATGGGGCGGGGGCTTGTAGTTGGCTGGGTGATCGGTGGTCCTCACAGCTTGGCAGACCCGCGTGCTGGACCCTCGTCCCTGGAGGTGGCGGTGGCTCTGTGGTGGTTTGCAGTGGCTTCGTCTCCCCTCTCCCCTGCTCCTGCTTGCAAAGTGGTGGCTGCGCCAGGCGGGCTCCGTTAGGCCAGAGAGTAGATGGCGTTGACGGGCGACGTGGCCTCGGAGCTCTCGTTGCCCTCTGTCTCCTCCTTGTCCTTCTTGACTGTGTACTGGCCGATGAAGGAGCCGTCCTCGTTGAACTGGCCCTCGCCGCCCTCGCCATAGTCCACCAGGCTGTCGTCACTCTCCTGCTGCTTGATGGTGCCGTCCAGGGACGTCTGGCTGCCTTGCAGCGGCTTGTTGTCCTCGTCACTGGGCAAGAGAGAGGCAATCAGGCCCCGGATGGCTGGGTGTGGCCAGGTCTCCACCTCCCCCATCCAGCACCCTCCAAGAAGGGACGGCGCCCAGCGAGGCGGCAGGTGGGTGCGGACCTGGGACTGGGGTCCACACCTCGGCACGCCTGGTCTGGGGGCCTCTCTGTGAGAGTTGGCACTTTCTGGGGTGCCGTTAGAGTGGGGAGGGGAGTGAAGGTGGGGAAACAGAGGTGGCATCTAGTCCCTAGTCCGGAGTGTCCCTGTGCGTGTGGTGGCCTGGAGCAGGCCCCTCCCCTCACTGGGCCTCCTCTCTCCATCTGGAGGGGTGCACGGGCTCTGACCTCTGTGACCTGCGACTGTGGGGGATGGGCCGGCCCTGAGATAAGCAGGGACTGGGCGTAAGGAAACACCCGGCTCCCGTCTTGATTCTCTACTCTCTGGCTCATGTGCACACGGACGCTGCAGCTCTGGGCCCAGCAAGGGGGAGGCAGGAGGAGGGAGCGTGTGCGGATCAGGACATGAAGCAGCAGCCAGAGACACACTAGCGAGGCTCCAGGGTCCTGCCCGGCCCCGCCTGGGCCCCTCCCGCGCAGGGAGGTAAGAGGCAAAGTGGCACCAACTGGCTGGGATGGCTGCCCGGCCCCCAGGGAGCGAGACCCCCCACGGGCTGGCGTCTGCTGGGACCCACTTCACGTTCCTACTGGAAGACGCTGTGCCCTTTCGCTCAGCATGGGGCCAGGAGCTGCTGGCTGCACTCCAGAGGGGAGGCAGCCAGACGGGACCGGTCAGCGGGTCAGCGTCTGCGCCCATGCACGCTCCCTTGCCCCAGGCCACCCTGCCTCTGGGGCCAGCGCCCAGCCGCCAGCTGAGATGCCATTAGAGTGAGCGGCGCCTTCTCATTCCAACAGCAGCTATAGGGCAGACAGTAGGGGGGGGCGGGGGCTGCGGAATCCTGGAATCAGTCCGGAATCCTGGAATCAGTCCAAGGAGGGGCGGCGCACTCACCCTCCCATGGGACCCAGTGGGACAGGGGAGGGGCAGCGACATGGAGCGGACTGTTGTGCAGAAAGTGGAGCCCACCAGTATCTCCCGGGAACTGGCAGATTCGAACCAACAGACTCCTTACGTCACTTCGTGGTCCAGTTCACATGCACCTTTCTCCCTGGCCCTCCACCCCTGCAGGACGCCTCAGTGGTGTCCATGCGATAGACAGTCGGGAATTGCAGGCTGCAGCTCAATGCAACCCTGGCACAGGGCGGGCTCACCCGTGGGAGGTCGGGAGAGCCAGCTTCTTGGGGGGAAGGGGCCCAGGTCTGGGAGAACAGGCCCTCCTAAGGGGATACTTGAAAGAAACCAGAATGACGGGCCTGGCCTGCCGCCTGTCAGCCTACCTTCCCAGAGACCTTTGAGGAACAGGCAGGCAGATGGCAGTGGGGAGCAGAATCCCCTCCTGAGGCTGGAGTGGAGCGAGGCGAGTGCGCCTTCTTCCCTCCAGGGTTCGTCCTCTGATGTATTAGTCGCCACCCTTACCAGTTGGAGACTCCTGGACTCATGCCACAGGGGGCTCTAGGAGCCATGTGTGACCTCCCAGAGCCCTCGGGCTGGATGAGTGGACGTGGGGCAGGGACGCCTGACAGGCTCCGGTGCGGGCAGTGGCCCTGCCGCCCACTGATCTGGTCCTGGTGCCAGGCTGCTGGCGGGCAGAGTGGCAGAGGCCCAGGATAAGGAGAGGTCACGGGAGAATAGGGGTGACCTGTCCCAACAGAGTACTAGATAGGGTGGGGACTTCTCCCCACCCACTTGGTCTGGGAACGAGGCTGCCACGATCCACCGCCCATCACTGCTTAACTCATGACACACTTGCTCTCAGAATGCACGAAGGCAACTTTGTTACTCCAGACGCAAAGGCCCCTGTGGCTCTGAGAGGACACCGAGGCGCTGCAAGCTGACCCCAGGCGGCCCCAGCCCCGCCACTGTTCCTGCAATGTGTGTGTGGGAGCCCTGGGCAAGGCCTCTCCAGGGCTGAGCCTCTGTCCTCTCCTGTGGAACACCGGTTCTGGGCCGGACACCTCTCCGCCTAGCCTGGAGCCCGAGGACGCCACCCAAGCTCACCCAAGCTCACCCAAGGGGCCTAGCATGGTGCCCACCGGCACCCCTGCCTCTCTCCCTGACCAGCCCAGGTTTTAAGACCAGACATCCCTGGACCGCTAACTTCAGGGCCAGGTGACTGTAGGCACAGAGGTGCTCAGAACGCAGCTCATTCCACAGCAAGGGTGGCCGAGGGCTTGTTTTCCGGGTAGAAAGGAGGGAAGGTCACAGAAGGGGATCAGTGTGCAGGCCGCTTGCTGTGCTGGGTGGTGTCTCCTGGGGACACGGGGGTGGATATGGGGGGGCTCTGTCTGCTCCACCTGGAGGGCTGAGGGTGGCGAGCCAGCCTATCCCCGGGGCTCACCCACCTGCACCCCCGTGGCTCACTCACCTGTAGTCGAACGAGCCATCCTCCTCCTTAGGATCTTCAGGGCCGAGCGGCACGTCCTTCTTTTCTCGCACTTGAGCAGCAAGAGAAGCAGAGACACAGACAGCTCAGCAAGACCCTGCGTGAGGGCTGCTTCTCCCTTAATAGGCTCACTGAGGCCTCCCTGGCTCTTGCTTCCCTCACAGTCAGTCCCCATGTCCAGCCTATGGCCGCTTCATCACCTGGGGGCTCCCAGCTTTGCGCACACCCGTGACTTCCACCTGGGCCCTTTGCTGCCTCTCCAGGTCTCCCCCAAACACCAGAGGGATGCGACCCTCTCCTCAGTATCGTTCTCATTCTGCTGTCTACCAGGACTGTCATGCCCATACCAAACGCTAGTTTTTTCCTGAAGGTGGGGGTCTGTCTCTTTTTCTTTTCAAACCAATAAAACAGAAATTATTTATTCAACAAGTTCATGCACCAAACTGATGGACAGGCTCTGTCCATACACTAGGGTCCAGAAGAAGGCAATTCTGTGGGAAGCTCACTCCCAGAGAGGCGACGTTAAGCTCAGACTTACAAAGCGTCGGCAGCGCTGTAGCTCCCAAGATGGTTCTTGTGGGACTTGAAATCAGTCACCACGCGTTAGCTCAGTTTGGGCGCTGAGAGCCCAACTGTGACACTGCCAGACGAAGCAGGGCTGAAGCAGACTTTCGGCAAGTTGACATGGCACAACGTGCAAACAGTCACTACTAGTAATCACCACGGGTGCAGTTACTGAGTCTGACTACACGCCAGCACCACGCCAAGGGCATCATTTCACCCATCCGCTAGGCAGCCTGGCAGACCAGGGAACCAACCCTCAGCGAAGTAGAGTGGCCGCATGGATGAACAGTGGTGGAATAGGAACAGGCTGGGCTGGGCTGGGGTCACCCGGAGAGTGACAGCATGGTCTGTGGGCTGGCAGGGCCCCAGAACTTGGAGACAAGGAGGCGTGGGGGCCCAATCTCTGCTTGCCTGCGTCCTTGTCATGCCCCTGGCCTGTCCCCGTGTCCCCTCCCATAAAACCCCCAGGGGCCCCCTGGATGGGTCCCAGTGGGCCCGGCTGTGCGGAGACTTTGCTCTTTGGGAGAGAAAAGCAGGAGGAGGGCCCTCCCTGGTGGCGCAGGGGTTAAAGCACAGCACTAAGAAGCTAAAGCCACTTCACCATGAGTTTGATCCCCAGCCCAGGAGGTGACCCACATGGCGCGGCAGACCTCTCCTGTCCCCCCGCTGCTCCCCTCAGCAGTGTACTTGTCAGTCAGCCTGTTCTGCTCCCCACTGTCTCTGGTGAAGCCTCTCACTGCCCCTGCACCTCTGGCCTATACCCCAGCTCTGTATGAATAAATAAATCTTAAAAAAAAAAAAAGCTAAAAAAAGAAAAGAAAAGAAAAGCAGAAGGCAGGCTAGAGAGAGCCACAAAAAGGTGGAGAAATGCTTCTTCAAAGCTTGGAGCAGAGGAGGCTCCAGCTACGTGCAAGAGTGGAAAGTGACCTCCCTGTGAATGCCCACTCCTGCCCCTGCGAGTGCTGTGATTCTCAGCACCTACCCAGGGCCCGCTGCTGGTACCGGTGTCTCCCGCCTAAGCCAGCAACTGCCCCTGCAGCAGAGAGCAGCTTTCCTTTCCTCAGTGCCCAGGACAGAGCCTGGCACACAGCAGCCACTCGAGTGACTCCCTTATATTTGATAAGAAACCAAACAATCACCCCCACTTTAGAGCAAAGCGAGGCTTTGAGAGGTGAAGGGCATGCCTCATGATGGCACGTAACTGTGAGGGAACAAAGCCAGGTGAAGCATGGCCAGGCTCTTGGTCTGACCCGGGGTATCCTGTAGCTGAAGAACTTTCTGGAATGGGCTACTTTCTAAATGGACAGAAGAGTCCTGCGGGTGCTCCCGCTCCTCCTGCAACCGGGGGTCCAGAGGTGTAAGCCCTCTCCCTAACTCTGGCTTTCTTGCTTACCAAAAATGCCCAATCCCACACAGAGTAGCAAAGCAAAAGGAAAGCTCCACCAGGAAAGAATTAGCATTTCCCGCCCCTCCACCTAGGGCCCTTCCCTCTCAGGAAGTCCTGACCATTAGGGTCCCAGGCCTGAGGCCAGCTAGGCAGAGAAGGAGATAAAACAATGTTCCCCCTCCCCTTGGAGTTTTAGGGGGACACTGGTGGAGGACTTGTCATGGAGATGAGCTCAGCAGCATTTGGGGGGTGGGTCTGGGGGAGGCAGGGAGCAATTTCTGCAGTCCAGTCAGGGTCATCCATTATCCTGCCTCCTGTCACCCTACCCACCCCATCACAGACAGATGGCTTTCTTGCCCTGGTTCAAAACAATCAATACTTCCAGAAACAAGAACACCAGAGGTCCTTGTCCTTGACCTTGGTTTGTCTGGGCTGGAGGATCTAGAGACACACAGAAAACACGCCTCCTCCGCCCTCTACAAAGCCCAAAGCCTTTTAAAGACTGAGGGATCCCTGAGTGCAAGCGCCACCCCTTAGCCTCTGCCTGCTCCTACATCGGGGCTCCTGGGCTCTGGTGGGGTGTCCATGCCGACACCCTGGCCACCCTGAGCCCAGGTCTGATTAGGACATCCCTCCCTGTTCCACTCGGGGGTGCGGTTAAAGAAAATGCCTGCCTTCCTCCTGCCCTGGAACACGGATCCTAATCAGATTCAGGCTGAAAAAAGCCAACCGACTGAGCAGATGGTGATGAGTCAGAGGGAGGGCAGGCTGGTCCTAAGAGGAGCCTGGGATCCTTCCATGCTCTATGGAGCTGCCTGGAATGCTCCACCCGCTCACCGCAGGAGAACTAATTAACGGAGGGCTTCCTGGCTGCTCTGGGGCGAGCTGCACAGGCAGAGTGCTGTGGGGTCGCACTTGGTGGGGCTGGCTTCCCAGGGAGCAGGCAGGCCCGATATGGCGGTGGAGGGGGGAGGGGACGTCTGGTGACTCGGGTGAGCGCCTGCCTGTGTGCCCCCCCGGCACCCCCAGCACGTCTTACCTGGGTATTTGCCCCCTCGACTCCTCTTGATGAAGCAGACAATGAGCAGGATGAGCACCAGGAGGGCGATGGCACACATGAGCCCGATGAACCAGCCCTGGGTGGCGATGTCCGCCTGGTTGTTGGTGTAAGCTGGCGGGGAGGCGGGAAGGAAAAGGGTGAACGAGAGGAGGGGAGGAGGGGGGCGTGAGGGAGAGCTTCAGCTAGCCCAAGGCCAGCTTCTCCTGGAGCCTAACGCTACCACCTACAGCCTCTACCCAGAGGATCTTACAGAACCAAGAAAAAAAAGGAAAGCGTCAGGAGGAAAGGGGCACGGAAAAGGGGGTGAGCATATAAGAAGCAGAGGCTGACAGGAGCTCCAGGAAGGGGGGTTCCAAGGACTGGCACGGCACTCTTGCAGTCTGACGAGGTGTGGCCCTGGAGGCTGGTTCCCGCGGGTGAGCCTGGGTCAAGGAAACAGGAGTCTGCAAGGTACCCACGGAGGGGCCGGCGGAGATGAGAACGCCGCGTGCCCGCCCGCCTGCCCGCTCTGCTACGGCTCTAGCGCCAGCAAGGCCTCAGCCCACCAGGCTTCCTGACAGCGAGGCCTGGGGACGTCCACCCAGGCTGCCTGTGGCTTCTCACGTCCCCCCGGCTGGGCTGTGCAGCCCTGCAGCAGAGGCAGTCCCTGTGTGGGTACCCCAGATGGGCCACTGCGAGGTTGGGGCACCCCATGCCTCTGCAGGCCACCTGCACCTATGACGACACCCCGGTAGCTGCGGGGCCCATCTGTGATTGCCCCGCAGGCGCGGAGAATTGTTTCAAGCACCCTTTTGATTTGAGAGGTATGGGGGTGAGGGCTGAAGGGTGTGGAGAAGGCAAGACTCACTTGCCCTGTTTTCTCTGGACTAGAGAACAAAAGAAACACCTCCTAAAATGTGGCTGCCATGGAAACCAAGACTCAGTGTCAGAGGGCAGAGACCCAGCGAATCAGGAGTTGAGGAGAGACACAGGCCTCCTCCTGGGGAAGAGGGAACAGGGGGGACCCTGAGCCCTGCACTCTCCAGGTCTTCACCACCTGGGGCAGATGTCTGGGTGCACCCCCACCTCTGTTATTCCTCTGTGGAGAAGCTGCCTCCCTAGCGCCAGCCAAGGGTGCTGCACTGACAGGGGTGTCTGTGATGGTGAAGACTGAGCCCGGGCTTGCACCCCAGGGCATCTGGCCACCCAGCCCGACAAGCAGTGGGTCCCCAGGAACACAGCTCCTGGTCACACTCCCCTCCTGTTCCCGGCAGGCCATTCCCCACATGGGCACCAAGTGACCTTCTCAAAACCCCACAGAAGGTAAAAGCACTTTCTAGCTTCTACCTCTGGTGCTTCCCATCACCACGGGGAAAAGCCCCGAGCCCTCATCTGGACCAGTGGGCTAGGCATCAGAGCCTGGCCCTGCTCTCTGCCTCTCCTTCCTCAGCCTCAACTCACGGCCACATGGACCACCCTCGGCCCTGCCGGCCCTTTGCGCCTTCTGCTCCCTCAGATGACCGTCCCAGTAGGGTGTTCTTCAGAAAGGGCTTCCTGGACCTTCCTGGCTAGAGCAAAGGCCGCTTTATGTCTTCCACGGCACTAGTGACCAACAGCTGTTAGGATGTTTACATGTATCAGTACTTCCTGGGCACTGGAGACCAAGTACGATTCTCCAACACGTTCTGTAATGGAACCTCGGAACCAGCAAAACAGACTCTTAATTATTGTCCCATTTTACAGAGGGAAAAACTGAGGCACAGAGAGGTTCAATGATTTGCCCAAGGTCACAGAGCTGCTCGCGGTGGGTTGAGACGGGATGCCAGGCTGACTGGCTGGAGGCCATGCTGTAAATGATGACACCCTTGTCCCTCCCCCAGAAAGGCGCTCCTTGGAGGAGGCCTGTAGGTCGTGTCTTCCCAGGGCAAGGATACAGCCTCACCCGGGGAGGCATCTGCTCAACATCGACTCAGTGACACACCTGTCATGAATCCACTCACCCGCTCCTGGCCCGGCGGGGCCCGCTGGCCCTGGCCGCCACACTGCCCTCCTTCCTGCAGCAGCCATTCTGGCAGCCACCTCAGCAGCCAGTGGACAGGGGCACTCACTGGGGGCAGGTGCAGAGGTGGCCTGCAGTCACCCTTGGGTGTGGCAGCTGGGCCTCTGTGTCACCTGGCAGCCCGTATCGTCTCTCATTGTCCCTCCGAAACTGTTTTTCCCAGCCCCACTTTCTCCCCAGTGGCTGGTCTCCCCACGGCTCTGGAGGCCAGGGAGCCTCACGGCCTCTTTGTTCCTCCTGCCCATCGGTAGGGCCGGCCCCATGCCGCTCTGAGGCTGCTCCCCATTTTGTCATGGGGCCCGATGCCTTGCCTCCTTGATGCCTCATCTGGTTAAGAATCTCGTCTCGGGCCCTCCCTGGTGGCGCAGCGGGTTAAAACACAGCACCAAGAAACTAAAGCCACTTCAGCATGAGTTCGATCCCCGCCTGGGAGGTGACCACATGGCGCAGCAGAACTCTCCTGACCCGCCCGCTGCTCCCCTCAGCAGTGGACTTTGTCAGTCGCCTTTCTGCGCCCCACTCTATCTCTGGGGAATCCCCTCACCACCCCAGCACTTCTGGTCTGTGCCCCAGTTCTGTATGCATTAAGTAAGTAAATCTTAAAAAAAAAAAGAATCTCATCTCAATTCCTGTGGTTCCCTTCTGTCTGCCATCAAGAACGTTGCAGCTGCCTATGTCTTACCAGAACCCCCTTGAGGAGTCCCCGGTGCTTGGTGGAGGGGGGGCCACAAACCCACTGTCACGTGCTGGATGGACCCCACCTGTCCGCAGGACCTGACTTTCCAGCTGGCAACCCTCCCCCTCTCCAGTCCCTCAGCTGTGGCTCTGGCCACCCAGGGACCAGACTCTCCTCAGCTCCACCGCCTGCTTGAAATTCAACATGTCTCCCTGCTCCGTCCCCACCCCCACCTCAGCCAGTGACCGGCCATCTCCCAGCCCTACGGGCTAGCACCACCTTACTGCTCCTCGGTGGTGTCCTCACCTTCCGCTGGTCAGAGCCTGAGGACGCGGTGACACTCCATCCGCCCCCGGTGCCTCCTCTGAGTCGCTCCCACACCGGGGTTGGTCTCCCCGGCTCAGAGGCTGGGTGGCCTCTGGCTCTCCTCCGTCTCTGTCCTCCCTTTTCCCGCTCGCTCGTGTCAGTCGCTGCAGTGACTTCGCCTCCATCTACCTTGCGCGCGTGACATTTGTGTGTCCTGCTTCCTGGCCCTGATTCCAGTTATACTATTAAACCTGAGCAAGGGGGGTCCCTCAGAGCCCGATGTGCTCAGCCCAGGCTGGTCACACAAGGTGTCAGTTTCATCGTCCACTTAACCCTAAGATGGTGTAGCTGGGGCAGCACACTAGTGCCCCCTGCCAATGCCAGCAGGGGTGAGGGGTGACATGGCTATTGGGGTGGCTGGGCGCCCCTCTGTGTAGGCAGCCTTCGAGCTGTGTTGGGATAGTGGCCCCCCCTCTGGGGAGACACAGGACTGCCTTCCCGCCACACCCTAATGCCCCCAACTGCTAAGGCTGGTTCTGGAGCCTCAATAGCCTCCACAAGAGGGGGACCCCCTTCTCGTGGGGGACTCAGCCCCAGGGAAGGTGCCGCTGGGCAGCTTAGAGGTGAACACGGCTTTCCTTTCCTGGCAACTCCGTGCCAGGTTCGTCAGGTGACTCAGCTTGACCCATGAAAATGACGAGGATCCCACCACAAGGGGACCCCACAGCACGGATTCCACCAGGGGGTGGGGATGGTGGGGAGACAGAGCAGCGGTTCCAGTTCCGCTCCCTCAGGCCGCTCGCTCCCCCATCCCCGCTCTTAATCCACTTGCGCAACACATGTCAGATTCCTCCCGGTCAGAAACACCAACACCCAAAGACCAGGTTGGACTTCGAGGCGCTGTCTCCTGGCGCGAGTGGGAGAAGCAGAACCGCACCCGCCCAGAGCCCCCTCCTCGGGACGGGAGGCCACCTCGACACCGCGCCCCGTGACCCCACTCAGAAGCAAGGTAGACAGTTCCCGCCACTCCTTAGCGAAGAGGGATGAGCGTGGCTTGGCCACGGAAGAGGGGCTGGTTGTTCCGTCAGCAGGAGAATTTTAATAGCAGGTCTCTAACGTCTCCCTGTGGCACGTCCTCTTGGTAAGACATGGATGAGGAGAAAACGCTGAAGGAAACGATAATCAAGAACCTATTTTCTCTCTGTCGTTTTACTCAAGTCGCAGTTTCTGAGAACCTATGGAGGACGTGACTTGAGGACTTGCTGGATTTCATTACTAGGGTAGAGGAACAAAGGCAGCAGGGTTGGGCTCGCTCCAGACTCATCTCACCCCTCATCCCTCCCAGCCCCCAACCCCCAGCCACTGCACATTTGCGCGGTGGCCTGTGGTCGGTGCCTGGGTAGGGGATTGTGGAACTGGGCTCTGGGGTCCCCCCACAGAGAAGTGGCCTGTGGTCGGTGCCCGGGTAGGGGATTGTGGAACTGGGCTCTGGGGTCCACCACAGGGAAGTGCTATTCCCAGGCACTTAGCGGGTGAGCATGTTCTCTCTCTCTCCCTGTGTGGTTTGCACACTTGAGCCAGTGCAGGAAGAATCAACAATCTGCACAGGGGTGGGGGTGAGTCACAAGCCCGTGCACCCTCTAGGCAGGCGCAGGGAGGGCTTGGAGGTCGTCTAAGCGCCTAGTGCCTCACTCGCTCTGAAAGCAACTCTCAGGCATGGCTGCTCAGGCCCAAGTGCACAAAGAGAAGCATCTGAGTTGACGAGTTGGAGTTACTAGTCACCAATAACGAGTCGGCGTTACTAGTCACCAATAACCACCCATGTTTGCTGCTCTGCTTCAGGGCTCTTCTCCCCAACCCCCCTCACCCACAGCTCATGCTCACATGACAAACTGATCTTAGCAGCTTTTCCTAGGATGACACTATCCTCGGTCTCCTCTGCTCCCATCTGTGCTAGACTCAAATTTGCAAAGGAGCAAAATCAAATGCACACACTACTGAGCTGGGACCCCCCCCCCGCCCCCACCGGGTCAGACAGCATCCAGGCACCTGCTCTACTGGCTCAACTGTCCAGGAAGACCTGCTGCTCGCCCAGACACTCTGCCTGAGCTGGCCTGGCCAGCCCCGAGCAGGCAGCTGGACCCTCCGGCTCCCTGAGTCCTGCTGGCATGGACATTTGGAGGATGGTCAGAGGACAGGAGGGAACCTGCCTCGCAGGGTGGAGAGGTGGGCAGTGGCTCCCCCCATCAGCAGTGAGCACCTGGGTCAACGTTCCGAAGTTGGTAAAAGTCGGTGTGTTTCTCCTCCAGCCTGCGTCTACACAGTCGCATCTGACCAGGGCACCCTCGGGGTTGGGGGCTGGTGTTTCCCTTAGTCTCTTTCCTCCATCCTCACCCTTAGGCTGAGGGTTTAGCACAATGGCCAGTTGGCTGATTTGGAAGGTTCACAACCAGGCTGCCAGCTACCCCCAGGAGCAGAGATTGCCGAGCCCTGCAGGGCTGGTCGGCCCGCACTGAGGAGGCTGTGCCAGCCACATCTGAGCCCATGGGAGCCTCAGCACTGGACAGCGTCTTCCCTTCGCCAGCACGACAAAAGGTGGACTCCTTAAAAGCCACGACAAACTTGGGACAGACGTGAAAACAAAGCCCAGACAAAGTGGAGTCACAGACTCGAGTTTCTGGACCACGGATGGCGGTGGCAAGCAATGACTTACATGCTGATCCCTGGTTTGGTTCTTGGGGAGATTTCTGGGTTAAGCCCCTTGGAGGGTCCTATCCCCTAATCCCACATGACCAAGCAAGTCCCTGCGGGCAGGACTGCCCTTCACCACAGAGGCCCTAGCTACACACACACCGAGGCCCCTGGGGGTGGGAGGCAGTCTCCTCCGCCCTCGTCCTAGGACCCCCGTTTCCTTCCGGCTCCCCGCTCACCCCCACGGGGCAGGAGAACGGCTGCCCTTCCATGGTGCATGCACTGCTGGCTCCTCCTGGCTTCCGGGGAGCTCAGAGGCCATGCAGGGTGAGGGGTAGGGTGGGGATGATTCTTCTTCGGAGACAAGCAGGAAGCTGAGAATGAAGATGAAATGCCCCATGCTTGTAGGGGATGGCCAGGCCAGGTCCCCCCTCACCTGTACTGGTCATAAAGGTGATGACGGTACTGCTGATGCCCTCGTTGTCCCGGGAATAGACTCGCAACGTGTACGTCATCCCGGGATAGAGGTCTGTTAGCTGTACGTGTTGGGCCTGAGCCTTAACAGGGACAGTTTTTTTCGTATGGTTGCCTGGGAACAGAAACCTCAATCAACCTGGGGCCAGCCGCGAGGAGCTGGAGAGGCAGTGCTGAGGACTGGTCACCTGGCCAGAGGGCCGGGCCCTGGCGCAGACCAGGGCGCTACCGGGTGATGCCACCAGCCCTTCCACTGAAGGTGACTCTACGTGAGGCCCTTCAACTGGGGACACCCGTCTCTCTTGGAAGCGGCCCTTCCTTGCCACACTGGCAGAGGCTGAGCGCTGAGAACATTACGACCTGCTTCTTGCGCCCTCAGCTTGCTGCCCTGGGCGGGTCAGAGGCCGCAGGGCCTCTGTCATGGAAGGCTGCGAGAAGTACTTGCTCAAGGGCCTGCACTCCTGGCTTCCTCTCATCCGACACGTGCTACTTCACAGGTCGGGAGCTGGTGCCTGTGCCCAGAGTGGAGGGTGGTCTGGGGGAGGGGGCTGCGCAGGCAGGAGTGGCCCAGGGGCTGGGTTCTGTGAAGCGACCCCCTTCTGACGGAGAGGACTAGCTGCCGACTGCTCTTAGGGCCCTCCTGCGCCGCCAGCCTGGCCAGGTCTTCTGCAGGGCGAGCAGCTTCCCTGCTGAGCACACAGCACAGAGGCGTGGGCCCTCGGGCGGGGGCTGCCCTCCCAGCCTGCCCTGGACACTGGCAGATCACCCCCTTGGTTCCAAGACCCAGCAAACAGTGAACACCTCGGTCGAGCCTCCAGCTCCCAAAGACCTATGACCTGTCTGCGTCTCCGGCAAGGGGCCACGGGTGACCCTATGGGACAAGGCACAGTGGTGCCCCAGGTCTGAAGTGGCCCCACCTATCTTGGGGAGACATCAGAAAACATGAATCTGAGTTGAGGGGACCGAGAGCTGAGCTTTGGCTCGTTTGGGGGCTATTCGGCGCCCTCACCCCGGGCAGGACGGGGACAGAGGCCATTCCCCACGCTCTCCTGTCCTCACAGCCGGGCTCCACTAATGGCCGCACAAGTTCCTCTCCTTCTCCGGAGCCCGCTCCTCCCTCCTCACTGCTGTCTGAGTGTGCATCGATTTCATGACGCCCTAATTAAGCCGGGCTAAAAGGCCTGAGCCCGGGGAGCTCGCTCACAGCTTCTCTGTAACGGCATCGACACTCCCCGCTGCCGCCACCCCGCACATGAATGCTTACTGTCGATGTACTCAACCACAAAGTCAGTTCCGGGCCCGAAATTGTGCTTCCAGGTGATGTTGGCCCATTTACTGTTGGGGAGCACCGTGACGTTCCATATGGACTGCTCGTCGGGGGCTGGTGGTGGGTTAGAAGAGGAGTTAGTGGTGAGGAGACAGGCAGCGCTGCAGACAGACAGACAGACAGACACACACACGTGACCAGGATAGGGGAGGCAGAAGTGGTGCCCGGCCGAGCTCCAAGCTGCCTGGGGGCCAGGCCAGAGGTGCCATCCAGGCAGGCGCCTGCGGTCAGAAGCCCCACGGGGTGCAGGGAGAGCCGCAAATTGAGGGTCCACACAAGAGGGGCCAGGCAAGGGAAGGCAGATCCGATGCACCAGGTGGGCTCAGCCCCGGCCAGGTCCCTTGTCATGGGTTTGAAGGGTGCAGCGAGAAAGGGCAGGAGGAAGCCTGAGTGGCCAGGATGCAGGCAAAGCCGGAGATGGGGCCCCTCTTTCCCTGCAACGACTCATGTTCTCCGGGAAGGAGTCAGTCTTTCAAAGCCACTCAAGAGTCGGGGTGAGCCTGAGCAGGGACAGGCCCAACCACAGGAGCCTGATGGGCTCCCGAGACCGCAGGGGCTGCCATGCAGGCAACTACAGCCGGAAGAGCTGGCTCGTGTCTGGCCAGCACGACTCAGGGTCATCTGGACAATGACCTCAGGGACTCTAAGGCCAGAACGCCAGGGTCCCAAGCAGACCCAAGCCTCAGTGGCCCAAACACCAGAGGAATCTGGTTCTTGGCTTCTCAGCACAGCATCCTTGGAGACTTCATGTCCACGCAACACAGAAGCCACTAGTTATCTAGTTCTGTAAGCGGGGAGCTACTTCGCCAGCTGTCTGAAATCACGGCTGCAGACAGAACAGCTCTAACCTTCACGCGTAAGCAACTTTCAAGAGACCCAGCAGCCTAATCACTCCATTTCCCAGCAAAGATTTAGTTGTGGCGTTCTAGGGTGAGGCCTGGGATTTCAAAGACTTCACACATGTATTTTACTGGCATGGAAGGGGGCACTGTCACCCACACGGGTGATGCTTATTCACCATCTACCTGGCACATGACCGAGCCTGTGGGCCCGGGAAGTGAGAAAGCTCCGGCCTTCACGTCAAAGTGGTGCCTACATTACTGTCTGTCAGCGGGCGGCCTGTTGCCTGCCAGGTGAGGGTGATGGGACACTAGGGGTCTCCACCGTGCCACCTGGGGTGCTCTCCACGGCTGGGGAGCGGGCAGGCGTCTATGCCCATTTGCCGGGTGCTTCCATTGTGCTGGAAATGTAGGGGCTGCTTTAAGCCCCCTTCCCCAAAATCCTTCTCCTGAACATCTTACAGGTTTTGCTAGTAAGCATGAATTATGATGAGCCATGGTTTGGGGCCTGTTTCTTCTTCAGCTCTGGGCCCTGGAGACTGTGGGCTTAAACAGCTTGGCCACCAATACAGTACTGACCCAACTCTGACTGTCTTAAAGGTAATGAGGACTTGGGTGAGGTCAAAGGATGGGCATCCATCGTGACTAGGTAATGGAGGGAGGGAAGCGGGACTTAATTCGCCGGCTCCTGGAATGTGAGAATTCGGGAGTATTCCTTGAAATCTGAGAGACAAGTTAAGGACAGATAAGGCACATTTCACCCTGAAAAGTGTACCCTCATGGAATATTTGTCCTAAGATGTGAAATTTCACGAACCCTGAGCGACAGGATTGTCCTGCCTTGATAAAGTCAGCGAGGACAAGGAGGGTGCCCCCAACCTAAGGATGGGCCAGGGGCAGGGCCAGGCCCCACCGTGTCTCAGGCACTGCTGGAACTTGGGGTGTGTCAGCTCACAGAGGGGCTAGCCCTCCATGGTAGCAAAATTGATCTCACTAGAAGATTTCACTGAGGAGCAGATTTCACTCCCCTTCTTCATCCTTTGTGACACTCATGGATGAACTCCAAGCATGAAAGTAGGACCCAGTAGGAACCCCACTTTCATGCAAAGGATGGTCCAAAGAACAGCCATCACGAAACCGCGGGGGGTGGCTTCTAATGGCCTAGCTGGTTTCTCCTCAGTCAATTTTCTCCTAAAGTGCATGGTTTTTAAATTCTAGACACTGCACTTTTAAGGAAGTCCTGTTCAAGAGCAAGTCACCTGCGTGACACCTGTCTCCCTGTGCACACAGTGCATCCTCCATGAGTTAAAGGAAATACCCAAATGCATTAAGCCTCTGTGCTCATCCAGATGCTGAGAAAAGTGGGAGATACTGACGCCTCAGAGGGTGAAGGGTCTTGCCCAAGAAATGGGGCTGGGGGTACAACCGGCAGCAGCTGAGGGAGCTCCAGACCCTGCCACAGCCTTGTGCGGACTTGACAGCTCGCACTCTGCAAACGAGAAGCCTCCCCTCTGTGGTAATAAGAGTGTTAGATGCAGATCTTAGGAGTAGCGCTGGGTTCCCCAGGGGTCTCCTCACACGGGAAGCCCAGCGCTTCCTGGCCCGGCTGCCGGAACAGCACGTCCTCCAGGGTCAGCAGGCGGCCCCGGGATCGATTCTTACCAAGGCCCCAGTAAGGCTGCAATTTCCCCTCCATAAGTACATTTGGGGGTGTGGCGAACATGAGTGGGAAAAGCAGTTGAGCGCCTTAGAGCATTATGGGACCCCCTGGCAATACTGCTTCCTGGAAGTACTGCCTTTTTGAAAGGAAGCCTGTAGGTGTGCCTTGGGGGGACAGAGCAAGGGAGGAGCCGGGGTTCTGGGAACAGATGCCAGCCTGGCCAACCGGCCGCCCCCCAGCCTGCGGCCCTCTGTGTGGCCAGGCTGGATGCGACGTGCCGGCCCCTTTCTGTGGCCACACGCCCTTCTGGAGGCTGAGCCCTGGGCTGGCTGCCGGGGGCAGCTGGCCACAGCCCTCTGACCTAGGCCCCGGGGGCCCTGCCGAGTGGCCGTCTGCTGAAGAACGGGGATCTGAAGCTAGGCCCAGGGAGGGAGGGTGGACGACCGGTTTGGCAGGTGCGCTCTGGGCCCTAGGCTTCCCGGCTGAGACTCCAAGCTGTGTGTGCCCCAAAGCAGACACAGAGGTGTCGGTCAACACCCCCCAGACCCCCCCCCCCCCGCTATCTGGGGAAGCCCGGAGGGGTGAGGAGCGTGGACAGCAGGTAGTACCGGATTCGTGTATCTTAGTCCCGGTGGTGGTGGTGATGGGAGGACTCTCCGTGGTGGTGGTGGTGGCAGTGGTTGTAGTAGTAGCTGTGGCGACGGTGGTGGCGATGGTGGTAGGTGCGACAGTTGGGATGATGGGGACTGTTGTGGCTTCGGTGGCGGCGGCAGTGGCAGTAGCATCGGTACCGCCCACAGCGCCCGTTGCACCCACGGTAGTCGGGGGCAACGTGGGAGGAGCTGGGAGGGAAATTAAGACAGCCCGGTCTGGTAGGTTTGGTGGTCCCGGCCTAGACCCGGCCCCGCGTGCAAGGCAGGCACCCGGAGAAGAGACGGCGCTTCGGAGTCAGAGCGCCCCCAAGCGTGACGGGCGGCGAGTCGGCTCCCGCGAGGGGACACAGCCATGTGCAAGGAAGAGAATGAAGCCCTGAGTGTGTTTCATTTTCTTCTCATGGTCTGTGCTGCTGGAAGCACCCTGCATGCACCCAGGCAGGGCGAGGATGAGGATGGGAAGGGGTGTGAACGATCGCTCAGACCCGAGGGACGGCACGGTCCCAGACCGCCTGCACACAGGCCAGGGAGCACCCCTGGGTCCAGCCCTGCAGCCCCGGCCTCAGGTGGGCGGGCATGGGCCTGGACCGCAAGAGCACCGGGCGGCCTGCCAGTCCCGCTGTTCACTCCCAAAGGACCCGTTCGCATGGTCGCCTGGGTGCAACCACCCTCCCGGGCCCAGCCACAGAGGATAAGCCCTACTCTGGAGGTCTGCATGTCTCCCGCCTGTTCTCAGTGCTCCCCCCCCCCCATTCCTTGGCCTCTTCTCGCTCGTCTCTGTGCCATCATGGTCCCTGCGTCTCCTCTATCCACCCTTGCGTCTCATAATTGCTTCACTCTCATGAGGGGTCCAGGCAGCCAAGTCCTTTCCCTTCATATTAGAACATGGGGCGAGCCCGAAGGGACTCAGCGTACCTGTGCTTGGTGCCACCGTCTTCCCAGCCCACAGAATCCTATCATGCCTGTGAGATTCGTGCTGGGCTTCTTAGCTGTACCAGTCTCCAGGGGCAACAGCTCTGTGCCAACTCTCACGTCCTCATCTCCCACGGAGGCGAACTGTGCTATCCGTTAGTCCTCAAGGCCTAACTATAGACAGGAGACAACTTTCCCTCCTTCCTTCTGCAGAAGGCTGCCTCAGCCTCACTCTTCAGTTTTATCATTTGCCAAAGCTGAGTGCTTGAAAGAATGATAGACCATATCAGAGGCTGAGCCACACCTCTCCTCCCTCCTCCTTGCATCCTATCTTCTGTGATATGACCATGATATGATTTCTAGTGTCGATACCAAAGAAACAGTAGGCAAGGACGAAAAAAAAAAAAAAAAAAGATTACCATCCTCTCTTAAATCCCCAAAGTCTAGGAAAATAGTATTACTTTCCTGCTGTCCATCCCGCCCTCTCCCTTCTAGCATCCAGGACAGGGAGGGGCCCAGAAAGCTATTTCTCAGGGGAGATTTAAAAGACCTTTTATAGAGTCTGACCAACAAACGCCCTTTCATTCTCCTGGGCCTCCAATATCACACTACTACTGTTCACTACGGGTCCCCCACTTGCACCCCACAGAAGAGGAAGTATTGCAAGGTTCCCAGCAATTTCCCTACTGGTAACAGGTGTCAGTAGGCCCTGAGGTGCTGACCACTATGTCACACTGGGTAGCGACTGTGGCCAGCATATTCGAGATTCTGCTGGGCAAGGCCACCACAGACAGTGCTCTATTTCCCACCCCCAGTCACTCACAGGAGGGGGGGGGGCTCTCCCTTTTCTGATCATTATTCAGGGGTGATTCAGCCAAGGTGCCTCAGGCCTGGAATGAAAACTCAATGCCTGAGAAGCTGAGCAGAAGGGCCACACCTGCCCACCCACCACGAGCAGCCCGTATTGCCAGGCCTCACCCAGGCCTGCTCCCTGGTGAGGCTGCCCAAGGGCCTTGCCCGCTGCTCTGCAGGCTGGGAGGGAGCTTGGGGGTGATTCTGTGCATCTGGGCAGGGGTGCTCTTAGCTCCTAACCAGTTCTGAATTTCCCAGCAACTCTTGCCAGATGCCATGCCCACGGCCCCTCCCTTTTCCCTGATTATCCGCAAGTCACCATCCAAAACTGCTCCTCACAACAGAAATCACCCCATGTGGGTGGTGCGAGGAGCGGGCTTCCCTTCCTGCAAACACACACTGTGGGGTTACACTGCCAGGCCCCCAATCAAAGCCAGCCTTCCCCTGGCTGAAGTGCGCTCACGTGTGCCCTGCTCCTCACTTCACGGGGGGACACATTAGTCCTCAAGCTCGAATAGCTGGTTGCCCGAGACACGGCGGTGCCAAGGTGGGGTAAGCGCCCCAACCCTGCTGGCCAGGGGGAGAGAAACCCTCCCCTGCAGTCCGCCGCTCCCTCTGAAGTTCCTTCAGACAGGGATAAAGGAAGGAAGCGTTTCCCTCTCCAGCCACCTCGCTGCCAGGCCTCCGGGTATCAGCGAGGGGGGCGATCCACCCGGTGCCACCCGGTGCCTGCCACTCAGTCACGGTGGGGGAGGCCGTTAGCTGGCCGAGGTTGAGACTGACCCTCTCAAAAGCTGTGTCTACTGCCCATTCTGGACAGGGAGAGGGGGGATGCAGAGGCAAGAAGGGAAGGATCTGCGGGCAGGGATGGAAGCGAGGTGAGTGGTTAGAGGGAGGGAAGGTTTCTGCAGGGAGACTGTCCAGAGTTCACGTCCGAGGCGATTCAGATGATCTCAGCCCCGGGGCTGGTCTGCAAGATAAAGGGGGAACCTGCCACAGAAGAGGGGCCTGTGGCCGAAGTGGCCACAGTCACTGCCGGGCCAGGATGTCCCTTCCTGACATCTCCAGTGGGAACTATGGGCCAGAGCGTGACTGCTGGACCCCTCGCCGACGGCAGCAGAATGGGGAGCGGGGCTAATATGCACTGGAAGGCACCCCAGTCACCCCAGCATTTTCCACCAGAGTTTAGGGGGCACCACACAGGAGAAGGAGTAAATAGTCGAGATGCCTCCTGCCTCGAGCTCATCTGTTGCCTCGGAACCCGCCCTGGAGCAGCTCAACCAACACCCAGACATGTGCAAAGCTGAGCTGAGTCAAAGACAAGGACGGAGTTTCCAGACATTCCAAGGTGCAAGACTCCGTCCCAAAATGCCCACATGGCGCACGCCCACCCTGGCCAAGTCGCAGATGGCCCGGACAGATGGGCAGCAAGCCTGAGACCGCAGACACGGCACACGAGAGGGATTATCTTTACCAGCTGAGAAAGGAACCAGTGGTCTGGGGGAAGCGCCGGGTGTGGAGAGCAGGAGAGCTGAGGGGACCGGGACACCGGACCTGAGTCAGAACCCGGAGTCCTGGGCTCCATGCGCAGCCTGCAGGGTGCAGAAGCTTCTGAGGCAGCCCAAGTAGAGGCCCCCGTCGTGGCCAGCACGCCCGTCTGCAGAAAAGCGCCGTGTGCCTCCAGCACCGTGTCTGTGGCAGCCGGGCTGGGAGACATGTTTGATTGATGGATGGAAACCCTGCGCGCGTTCTGCATAATGTGATGGGCTTGGACTCTCTCGAGCCGGGAGGTGGGGTCCTGGAAGTGTACCCACCCCTTTCACAATTGCCACATGAGCGGGCAGCACAGATGGGCACGGAGGCCAGGCAGACCCCCTGCCACCAGGCACACCTGCTTTACCTCCTGGGGTGCCAGAGGGGGTTGATGAGGGTGCCCTCGCCGAATCTCCCTTCCTCCTCACTGAGCTAGGCTGCTCTGAGTCCCAGAAGAGACCCCACACACATCACTCAGGAGGTCAGGGCGCCCCCAGACTGCAAGGATGGCTTTCTCCAGGTCCCCAGCCCCAGAAATCCCAGGAGAGACGTCCAGACCATGTGGGGGGCACATGGCCTTGCCAGCATGGGTCATGGGTTGCAGTGCAAGGGAGGGATGGCTGAGCTGACCGGCAAAATAAACACAAACTGAAGGAAGCAGGGCTTGCAACAGAAACAGAATCAACTTCATGTGTGGGGTTGGGGGAGCAAGGGGAAGCAACGGTGGCCCCCACACCCCCCCACCCAGCTCTTCCCTCTGCCTGGTGTTGCCTGGCCTCTGGGCCACTTGCCCTGGAGCCCCTGCTCAGCCAGGGGATGCCTGTTGTCCAACTCAGGAGAGGACAGGAAAAGGGGCCCAGAGGCCCCGCTCAGCTTCTCCAGCTCGGACAGGCCTCTGTGGGGAAGAGGCCCCTGACGTTCCTCACACCGGACACAGGGACCTGACACAGGGACCTGCGTGGCCGGCGGGCCACCCTCCTAAGCCAGGACCTGCCTGCCTAGCCCCTCGGTTCTGCGGCGCATCTCAGCCCCCAGAGCAGAGCCGTTCTTAGCACCGAGGACTCGCGATGCTGCGGGTCTGAGGGATATGGGTGGGGATGGTGCCCCCAGGGAGTCCAGGTCCAAGAGCACCTGGCTCCACCCCAGGACATGCTCATTCCTCCTGGCTGCCCAGGAGGCGGCAGCGCAGGTGCCGAGCCCCATGCAGCATGCGAGACCAGCATGCACAGCGTGCACCCCCCAGTCACCCTTCCAGGGGCTGGCGGACTGCAGGACCCAGGAGCCGGCCGCCCTGCTCCCATGCAGCTTCCTCTCCAGGGCACGGCCGTCACCAAGGCTGTGGGCCTTCAGTGCGTGGGGCCCCCTGGGAAGCCCGCTTCCGCCTCCAGAGCGGGGGATCAATGAGTGGAGTGGGGGCAACATGCCCTGTCCTCCACTGAAAGGGTGTCTGGAGCGTGCTTCCACCCCAGCCTCTCCCTCCTGCTCCCCCCTCCGGGCCCGGCTGTGCCTGTCGCCCCATGCCACGCCTGTTACCTCCGCTGCGTACGGTACCTGCGGTTGGAGCAGCTTCAGAGCACAGCACCCAAGATGGCCAGAGACAGGGAGAGAGGATGAGACGGGGAAGAGAAAACAGTACAGGTGAAACCACAGGACAGGCAAGCAGAGGTGGTGCTGGCTCCAACCGGGCCCAGTGTGACCAGCGGTCGGCCACCATCTCAAGAATGAGGCCAGCGGGTGTTTGGGGATCACATTCAGCTCCACCAGGACGTGGGATGTTCCCCCACAACGCCTGAGGCCTTTCTAGTCCCTTCTGCATCTACCTCTCCACAAGAACTAAGCCCTGAAGAGGCGGGCAAGTCACCAGCACCTGAGGAGCCCAGGTCTCTCCGAGAGGGCCCTGCCTGGCTGGGCTCACTGCCTGAGGGAGGCCGGGTGACCCTCCATGACACCAACAACAGGGACACGAGGACCACAATGGGGTTCCCCTATCTTCCTATTAGACAGGGGCGGGGGGCGGGGTGAGGGAGGGGAATACTTGGTTCCTGGCACCACGTCCAGCCTGGGAGCTGGGGTGGTCTGGAGGCCCGAGGCCCCTGTCTGCATGATCTCCAGCCCCCACCCCCAATCCTTTCTCATCGGTGGCACTTTATGAAATTAGAAACCCAGCTGTGGAGTCACAGCCCTCAAAGGAATTCCCGAGCTTGCTGCACACCCCCAAGCTGGTAAGAACGGCTCTTTGTCCTCCTCTGTCTCAGGGCTGCAGAACTTTCCAGTGGTGGCTTCTGGGGCTGGACAATGGGGCTTTGTGTATCTGATGTTTGGTCCTGGAGTGGAGGGTAAGAGAGAAGAGGTGTCCTTCATCTCCTCACAGACCTAAGTAATCAAGAAAGTGCTCCAGCCCCTGTGCAGTCTGACCTTTGGTGACAGCCATGTATCAGCCATTTACCCAGAGCCCCCCAGCCCTGATAAGCAGCTGCCTAGGGGTGGGAAGAGCACACTAGAAGGGGAGTTTACTGTGTGACTCATTTCTGGCTTACAAGACCGGGGAGGGTGCAGAAAGGACCCTGCCCCCCACCCCTGCATCCCCCAGCACTGTGGCCAGGGACCTGGGGACAGGAAGGCTACGGGGCTGCTTGTGAAGCTGAACTGGGAGCCGGGGGAAGACATCAGAGGCGAGGGGGTCCCGGCAGTCCCCGTGAAGGAAGCCCCGATCTCTCCTGGTTTGGGGGTGGGGGAGGAGGCGTTCTTGGGAGGTCTGACCCAAGCCAAGGTCAGGCACTGGACATCAGCTGTCTGGGGAACACACTAGATATGAATGTCCGCTCTCAGCTCCGAGAATCCCTCCTCCATCGCCTCTTTCTTAACGATCTCCCTTGCAGAATTAATCCTGCTCCCTCACAGCCGCTGAACACAGCGCTTCTCAGGTTGAACAGCAGTTAGATACCCCCTAGAGTCCCCCAGTGGTACCGCAAGGGCGCCACCCATCCGTCCTTGTTTCTGGCAGTGTTGCTGGGCACTCAATTTGTGGGTGCTCGAGAAACAGCCTCTGCAGCCTCTGGAGAGGCAGACGGTCCCTGCTTTCAGGGGGCGCTGCCAATAGGGAGGCTTCCAGCCTGGCTCCCTGAGTGTCCAGCAAGCTGCACTTTGGCAGGTGGGTCTGGGGGTCCCCCTAGCGGAGTCCCCAGGCAGGTGCAGCTCCCGTGGGTGTGCCCCTAGGCACATGCCAGGGCCCAGGAGATGCTGCATTTGCTATTTGCTCTTTGTGAAGCTGGGTTGGCAAAGGGCGGTTCCCCAGCTTCCCTCCTGCCGTGGCTTGGCTTGACAACTGACCCAGTCAGGCACAGGTGGGATTTCAGCTGCAATCACAGCAGTTTCTCCTCCTCCCTAGGCCCCACATACCCTTGGGGAAAGGGGCACCCCAAGGCCCCCATGCGGCAGGCTCAGTAACATTCCTGTTTCGCTCAGCAGGTGAGCCCTCTCGCTGTTTTTGGGCGTTGACAACACCCGCCAGGGTGCTTTTCCCCACCGCCCCGCTCTCTTATCCTCCCAGGACAAAGAACCATGATAGACGCTAAGTAGCTGAGCAAGTCGAGGTAAAGGCGGGACTGACGGCAGCCATCCAAGTCCACCTGTGTTTTCCAGCTACGTGACCTCCTGCTCAGCAGACAGGTGGGTTCTCGCTTCTTGAGTACCTGCAGCTGGTTTACAGGCCGGGCAGCCAGGGGCCAGGCCGGGTGGATCTCTAGGCATCGGCGTCATTTAAACCCCTTCACCTCCAAGGCTGCCGCCATACCTACCTTCGTTGGGGGCTGCTGGTGACTCCTCTGTGACAGCCTCCCCGTTGCCCACCTGCGTCCTGGCACTGAGCGTAAAGCGATATCGTGACACAGGGTCTGCCCTTTGCACTGAGAACTTGGTCTGGTTGGGGGAGAAGTTTTCCACTATCTGCTTTCCTAGTTTGGTTCCGTTGACTGGGGAGAGAGAGGCACGTGGAATGGCAGGTTAGTGATGTTTACCACCACAGAGGGGCCCAGAACCACAGCTGGATGGAAGGGAGCCCTCCCCACCTTGCAGGACAGGGAGGGGCCTGCCCCATGGGTGGCCCCCACCCAGGGGTGGGGGGCCTGGGTGCAGGGTGGAGTGCTGGGCAAGTTTCTGGTCCTCAGATTACCCTCCAGGGTTATTACTTCTTTGTAGATCCCATTATCTCTAGCTCCCTGCAGAGTTATGTGGCCAATTCTGAAAGATTCAGTTTAGAATTCCTAAGCCTTTTCAACGAGGACAAATCTCGTGAATTCCTCTCCTCCTTCCAAACAGAACTAGGACAAACCACTAGTGCTGTTGATTGTCAATGTCCCCTTTGTAAAAGGCTTATTCAACTTTTCAAACGGGAAGGTCAGGTCCAGAGTGGATTCAAGCACACAGTGGCTACCAAGTGGCTAACACTACACCTGGCCCCTTGAGTGTCCAAAGTGGCAGGGGCAGCTCTGGAGACTGGACGTCCCCCACTGTGACGGTGTTCTGTCCTGCAGGGTGACACTAGGCTCGCAGGCGAGATCCTCTCCGCCCGGGAGCCTGACCTCGCCGCTCCAAGGTCTTTGGCAGCTCTGGGTATGGCTGCCTTAGCGTACTGCCACTTCGTTAGGGTGTCCCGGGCATCGTGGGGGTCCCTGTGCTTGCTGTCTACTGTCTACTCCCGATGGAAGCTCCGTCAGGTGAGGAAATTTCTCCCCAAGCCTTGTAGGTGGCGGAGACGGTCAGATCCCTGAGGGCGGGGCTGTCTCCCTCATTCGACTAGACCTAGACTGGACCTTCCTGTCTTGCCAGGCGACTAGGGACCCCCTGCAGTATCTCAAGGAGGGCAAGGGATTGAGTCTCCCTAAATCCTATGGAGAATGTCTCCCTTGGGCCCTCCACCCTCCGTAATGCCCTACGGAGGTCGTTACGTTCCCTGAGAGTAGGGCTTCCGCTTCCCGGGTTAGCCACGAAACTGAGGGAGGACGTACAGGCCACGTATTTGAGGGTGTATCCGATCATGATCCCATTGGGGTGCTCTGGATGGTCCCATTCCAGATTGATTGTCTCCAGGTTGGGCTGCCGGACTCGGAAACGCCTGGGGGCACTGGGTACTTGGGGAAGGAGGAGAGAGCAGGGGGCATCGAGGGGTACGGATGGGGCGGGCAGGATGAGGGAAACAGAAAAACAAGGCACAAGTGTGAAGGCATTGAGCTGAGGACGGCTCCCGGGGGGCTGCGGCTAAGCCAGCCCCAGGGGAAGCCGAGGCGGCCAGAGCCAGGCCTGACCCAGGCTGGCTTCCCAGGTGTGGAGCGGGGCCCAGGCTGTGTAACACAGAAGTAGGTCAGCGTCCCCTTAGCAATTACTGAGCAGTCGGCGTGTCTGGCTCAGGCAGGCAACTCTCCCACAGAGGCTGCAGCCCTCAGTCCTTGGACACAGCTTGCCACCGCAGGGCCAGGCGGCAGGCCTGGGGTCCCGCTGAGAGGAGGAGGAGACCCAGATGGAAGACGAGGACCCCAGGGCGGGAGCAGTGGGAGAGAGGTGGAGAGGCTGGTGATGAAAAAGAGGAGGAGCTAACAGGGAAGAAGGGAGGCAAGAGAAACAGAAAAGAGCAAAGCAGATGCCCAGCTGTGAAAGGAGGACAGGGCAGATGGAGATGGCCGGCCGAGCCAGGGCCGCGTCCTGCGGCTGGGCGCCCTCTGCAGGCCAGCACGCGCACAGGCACTCTCCGCAGGGAAGCTTCTTGACTCAGAAGATGCCTCTAGGTGTTTGGGGGGAGACCACGCTTCTGCCTCGGGACGTGGTGGTCAGCCCGGGCTCCCGCAGTGCCTTGGGGGCCAGGGTGCATCTCCCTGGAATCATCAGGACCGCACAGGTCTTCTCTCGAGGCTGCTCCTCCGGGCTGGTCTGGGCAGGTCCCCTGGTGACCGAGCACTCGCCTCGCAGGTCAGGTCATCGGCCCCTTGCGGTCACACCGAGGTCAGCTTGTGCTGTCCGGGCCGGTCACGCTGCAGTGGCGCCGGGCCCGCCGGGATGCGCTACCCTGGTCCTGCCCCACCCCGAGTTGCTGAGGCCAGACCTACCTCCTTCCGGGGTGGTGAACTCCTTGGTCTCACTGCGAGGCCCGTCGCCTCTCCCATTGACCACAACCATCTCCAGCTTGTAGTTACTGTAGGGGAAGAGGCGGGACACCGTGCCACGGGGCCGGTCACCGGGGAAGCTGGCTTGCTGTCTCTTCTGAGACACCCACAGGTTCTTCAGCAAGCTGCTCTCCCTCCAGTAGTAGGCCTTCAGGACAGAGGCAGCCGGTGAGGGGACCGTCAGGCAGGGCCGGGTTAGTGGTTAGTGGCGGTGTGGCAGCGACCAATCTTCCCTTTGCTCGTCACAGGCTCCAAATCCCAAATGACCTCATCGGTCCCCATAAGGGGGACCGGACGTGTGATCCCGTTCACGAGCCACCATGCTTCTCTGGGAAACAGGCAGGTGGGCAGAGCTCACGCTGGGCGGCTCCATCGTGACACTGCCTTCGGCTGGCGGGGGTCCGTGTCTGAGCTGGGGGTCCAGCGTGGGAAGCGCTGCTCTGCTCAGACCGCTCCCCTTGGGCTGGATTAGTAGGGTGTAAATTGGCAAAGCAGGCGCTGAAGGGCAGCGGTCTGAATTTGAGCAGGGGTGGATTTATTCCTTGGCAGTCAAACCGTTTCTTTTAGTACTGTCTGAAGACCTTTAGCAAAGGGGCAGTGACACATCCAAGTCAGGGGTGCCAGGCTGCGGGCGGCCAGAGCCGGGGTGCTGTGGGGTGCCGTGACAGGCAGCAGCGTCACAGCACGGTGAAGACTTGGCGACGCGAGGTTTGGTTAGCGGTGGGTAGGAAGCTCCCGGTCAGGAGGCACATGGGCGTGGCCCAAAACCAAGGAAAGGAGGGAGTCCAGACTTACGGGAGGGTCACCCCAAGGGGGCCGTAGCCAGAAGAGGCTCCTGGCAAGGAGGTGAAGGAAGCAAGTCGACGGCGGGGGGGCAGGGTTGGCCCAAGTGCGTATCTTTCCTCCTTCCTCCCCACTCTCCAGACACACTTCCCAAGAAGAGACTGACGCCCTCCCGCCTCAGCCACCTACAGGCCGCCCTGTGCGGCAGGAGGAGCCTGGCACCGTCTGGACTGTCTGGGTTTTCTCTCCATTTCCCACCTCGGTTCACCTTTTCAAAGCGGAGAGAGGACGAGCAGAAAGTGCTCAAAGGCAGGGAGAGCAGAAGCCCAGGGCCCAGATGACCCACATGTGGGTCATCCAAGGCTGGCTGTGACGGTGCTGCACCTGTTAGGGGCTCTCCCTGCGGGAGGGGCTCCCCTCCCTTATCTGGGGCTTTGAACGTCAGACTGGGTGAGGCAAGCAGCCAGCGGGGCGTTAGAGGAGGGGAGGGCGCAGCGAGGTGGCGCCTCAGCTTGGCACCTGCGCGTCACGTGTGCCCACTCACAGTGGCACCCCAAACAGTGCTCTGTGCCAGTCGGCGAGGCCCTGCCCTGGGCCCCGTCCGCAGCCCTGTTCTCGCGTGGCGTCTGCCGAGCAGAATCCCAGCAGAGCTGTGGGGATACTCCTGGGGAGACGCCTCTCTAGATATGTGTGTAAGCTTGACTTTCTGGGTGCATTTTCGAACAGCTAACCCTAGACATTACCTCCTCCGATCAACTCTGCCTCCAACAAATGCCTGTAGGGCTCCTTCCAAAAATCTCATGCCCGCACCTGCTACCCCTGGCCCTGGTTAGCGAGCTGGGCGGTTAGGCGGGGGAGGGCGTCCTCACTCGATACTCCCTGAGCTGGCCCTGGACCGTGTCGGAGTAGACTCGGTTCCACTGAAGGCCGATGGCTGTGCTGTTCAGGACTCGGATTTTAACGTCAGTGGGCGCAGCTCTGGGATCTGCAACGTGTCGGGACAGACAGCTGGTTACGCAGTGGAGCTGGGTCCTGGGCTTTGATGGGGCCCCTCGGACTTGCTCTCTGCGGCCTGCACCTCCCCTCTAACCCAGAGACCCCACTCTGGACCCTCTGCTAGGGGTGTTTCTCTTGTATCAGACGTAACTTCACACTTGGAGGGTGAGGAGGCTCAGGGCAAGGAGCGGCCGTCCCGGTGGGGCTGTGCTTATGCCTTTAGGGCAGACATGCTCCCCTGTGTACCGTCTGCCTCTTCACTCCACCTTCCACCCTTTGCCACATCCCCCATGCCCTCTGGACGGGGTCAGCCGGGCCCTGTCCCAGGCTTCCGGTGGCTCTGCCCAGTGGAAGGAGCAACAAGAGATCGCAGAGCAGGGACGCAGGAAGTGTGGATTCTCCGGCGACCTCTTTGCTGGGCGACAGGCTGACAGCACTGGCCTCTTCGACCAAAGGGAGCCCTCACCGCTAGTGGTGACCCTCCACCCCTGCCCCTTGGGGGCTGGAGGGGTTCAGTGGTGTCCTGCCCTTGCCAGCCTTCCCTGGGCCCCCTGCCTTGCTGGCATCCCCCTTAACCCTGTCCTCACATGGAACAGCCCCTGTGGCTGGCATATGTTTCCTGCCAGCTCCCCGCAGGAAACATTCCCCTCAGACGCAAGATGCCCTGGCCCAGTTCAGGAAGTGATTTGACCCTGAGATTAGCTGGCAAGAGAGGGGCACCCCCTCATCCCAACCCTTTACAGCACTGTGCAGCAACAGTTCTGCTTCCCCAGCCCCAACCCATTAGAGCACAGAGCAGAGGGTTGATGGAGGTGATGGGAAGAGCTGGGGGTGGGGAGGACCCTGAAGTCCCTGAGCAGACCCTGTGGGCTCCACACTTACCAACAGTGGTCCCCGTGGCCAGGAGTGTCTGCTATCATGGCGGAGGAGTGGAGGACAGAGGGCCTGCTGGCCCGTGCCCATCCTCCAGATGGGACCAAGCCATAATCATCTCCAGGAAAGTGAGGCTGGGGGCCCAGCCACATTTGTCTATCTCACTGTTACAGCCCCCCACCCCCAACACGGGCCTGGAGACACCAGTCCTTTCCAGGACTCACGCTTCCCTTTCTTCTGGTCACCCCTCACTGACAGGCCTCTGCTTAGAGCAGACACAGACCCACCTGACCGCCCTGGCCAGGAGGGGTTCATGGACCCTGCTGCTTGGCTCAGCAGCCACCTGGCTTGAGGTCCTAGGGCCAGAGAGGCTGCCCCGGCACAGAATTCCACGGACCCAATTGATTGGCCCGGTGCAGGCTCCACATCACCGCTCTGAACTCAAGTCAAGGAGTCAGCTGCACCCAGAGCGCGGGCAGGCGGCTCATGTGGCCAGCCCGCTGAGCCCTGTGGCCTTCTCCGCCCGCAGGGCCTCCCCTGGGGATCCCGAGGGGGTTCTGGCCCGAGGCCTTGCTTCCAAACTCCGTGTGGCTGGTGCTGCAGCCTTTAGGGCTCCAGGGCCTGTTTTCACACCCATAAAATCACACCTGTAAAACGGGCGCACTGGACAAGGTGACCCCTTGGGGTTGCTCAGTACCCCTAAGTAGAGTCAGGCATTATGTCACTCCTGACATGCCCGGCGCCCCTGGGGCCCAGGCCACTGTGGGCGTCTCCTTCTGAGGAATGGGCGTCTCCCCAGGATGTCCTTGGAAGGGCCGGCCGGCCGGGCCTGTGAGCGCTGTTGTGGGGTGCAGGGGGGAGGGGCCGGGGGAGGGTACTCACAATCTTCTCCGGAGTAACCGATGACGGTATCTGGCTCGGGGCCCTTCCCAAAGTCGTTCTCGGCCTGGACTCGGATCTCGTAGGGCACGTAGACGGGGGTCTGCCCCACCACGTAGCGGGAGCCCCACACCGTCACGTTGTTCCAGGCCTCGCGGGTCTCTCTCCGGCGCCACTTGACGATGTAGCGCAGGTTGGGGCCAAAGGCGGAGGTGGCGTTCATGGGCTGAGCAGGGAGAGACGGGTGGCGGCTGGGGGCGCTGGTGAGGGCCAGGGCTCCTCCACAGCTTTTGCCAGGCACTCCCTCCGCCCCCTCCCTATCTCCCCAGCATGGGCAGCCCTCCTGCTGGGTTGGGGAGCTCAGGCCGGTCCCCTGCCCAGTTCTGCAGGAGCCCAGAAATCCTACGATTCTGCCATAGGGGGATTTCCTGTGGTGAAGGCCTCACCCAAGATCTTGTCACCGATGCTCAGAGCCTCCCACGCTTGGGGGTCAGAGCAAGCAAAAGCTCCACCTTCGAATTTCCCGTGATAGGAGTGACTATAAGAAAGATGATGGACAACGACACCCCATTCCCCAAGGCTGGAAGAGGTGAGTCTAGCTTAACCACAGCATGTCTCCTGCTGAAGAACGCAAAACTCAGACCTGCTTTCAGTTCTCCCAAGCCCTCGGATCTGTCCTGCCCTCTCCACCAGGTCAGAGCTCTGAGAATGGGGGCAACGCTATTCTTTGTGCCCCGAGGAAGCAGACCCTGGGGAAGTCCAGGAAGCCAGCCCTTGAGAGGTCATGGGTGCGTCCCAGGCCTCGAACCCCAGGCCCAGCCACGTGCCAGACCCCAGCAAGACAGGGAAGGCCGTGATTCTAAACCCGGCTCTCTGGGCCTCCACTGACACAGCAGCTCAGAAGTGGATCTGCACCTCAGAGTGGGTGGAAGATTATTTTGAGGTCCCATGACCCAGTTTTGGGGTGAAAACCTAGCCAAGATGAAGGTGGGGTTGTGAGGGTCTGGAGGAGGGGGGCCATGATGCCAAGGAGACTTCCGCCCTGAACATACCTCCACTGCCTTTCCTCCCCACTCCCAGCAATCTTGGGGGAGGGACCCCAGAACACACCCAAGTGCCTCCTTGCCCCCCTTATTTTGCTGGTGCCCACACCCTTGCCTGAGTGGCCAACGGTGCTCCTGTCTGGTTTCTGTTTCGGAGAAAAGCAGCCACCCACAGCAGCCAGGAGTGGTGACACCCACCACCTTGGGGTCAGGGGTACAGAGGGTGAAGGCCCCCGGAAAAACTGTGCAGGGTGCAGGCCATGGGGAGCGGAGCCTTACCGTCCACGTGATCTCCATGTTGTTCTTTCTGGTCCCTTCTCCCTTCACGTCAGTGGGATTGGACTCAGGTGCTGGAACCCAAATGGACACCCAGTTCAAGTCCCATTCACACCTCCTTCCTGGGCCACGTTAAGCAGCTCCGTCCCCCCCCCGCCGCTCGGTCCTTCTACATGGTCTGTTTTCAGCATCTTTATACTCTCCCCACAGGCAACTAACTGAACTTGCTCTATTTTTTCTCCCACAATGACGTGCCCTCCTGGCTCATATTAAAACAGGGCTGTTTTCTTTTGCGTTTTAACTGCTTACCAGACAGCATGCATCATAAGGCTCCCCAAACAGTGGGTGGTCAACCCCAGTGTGGATTCGCCATAGTTATGTCTAACGCCAGACTGGCTGAGCCCCAGCACCAACTATTTTTGGGGGGATCATCTCCACCCTCCAGGAGCTGGAGTGACTTCAGAAGTCTAAACATTCCCCACATGTGCCAGGAAAAGAAGTCTGATACAATTCTTGATCACATACTTCTTTTACACATCTTTGCCACGGCCCTTCCTTTAAAGCAGTTAATCGAGACCTGTTGCTGACAGGAGTGACAGCACTGGCTGGTGCTCGCTGTGTACCAGGCACTGCGCTAAGTCCCTCAACTGCGCTTTTATTTATTTATTTATTTATTTTTCCTCCCTGAGAACAAATTTTGGATAAGATAATAAGAATTTTTACCGGGACTATGGATCCACTTAAATCTCAGATTATTTTCCCAA